TATCCGAATCAAGCACTATCAGGCAGAGCCAACTCACTTGTTCGGCTGATCCTGGAAACATTTTGAGTGAGTCGGTGGGACTTTAAAAGTAAGTTCCTCAGATGAGGCACAATCAACTGCCATCGATGTCTCTTCATGCCCATCAAATGAAAATTTTTCGAGATAAGAAAGTGATGACTTCAACGCCTCAGCTTCGAGGCCATCACGCGTGCCCTTTTCAAAATGTCTAAATCCGCCTAATTCCTGCGAAATCTCTCCCTCTACAGCTTGCTCCATTGCCTCACCACTCATGCACACACTTGTATCCCCATCGTGTATCACTACTCTCTTGTGTTTCTCCCTACCAGTGATTAAAACATATTCACTATTTTTTCGGTCAACATCGCCATTAGATGTAACGTTTGACTCATCTTCAATGTTGGCTATATTATGGAGTCTAGTATCTTCCTCGACAACTTCTTCCATAGTGCATTTTTCTCTATTTTTATTCCCATCAAAGCTTGACTTTGGCTTTAAGAACTCAGAACTCAAAGGTTGCAAATGAGGAGATACACGAGATGGATCTAATGGAGTACTAAAAGCCGTGCATGAATCAACAAGAGTCAGCAAGCTGACTAGACTATCAAATAGACCAAGTCCGGCCAGCGCAAGATGATCAAGTCGAGAATACGGTGCATCATTACGAGGACAGCAGGTAACACTTGCGAAGGAACCAGCAGTGAGTAGTGTAGACGAAGAGCCGGGACGGCTAGATGTAGAGGTAGTAGCTGAGTCATATGTCAGCGGAAAACTCAATGAACTGTGCTCTGTAAGTGTACAGAGAGCAGTGGAAGAACTTAAATTAACAGGTGCAAGCAGAAGGGAAGTGGTTGACTGGCTGGAAGCTTGAACGAGGACAAGGGTGAGTCGAGGGTTGGAGAGATAAGCGGCCAATTGGTCCACGAGCCCGCAACTGACTGTATAACTTAGCAAATCCTGTAGTGGATAGGATGAAAGAAGAAATAGATTAATTCATACGCATATGGATTGTAGTTAAATGCAATGTTCTATAAATCATATGTTTGGAGTTAACTGATTTGTTTTTTATTGGTTTTCAAGGCTTTTGTGGTCTATTCCTGTGAACAATTTAACACTCATTTCGAATTGTAAAGGTAAAATTACACGAGTCTCAAAAGACTCAAAAGTTCATTAAATTAGAAAGAGTTGCAGGCCTACTAAAATACACTCTGCAGTAAAATATTAAACTTTTTTATAAGCAGTGACTTTATAGGCAGCATAATAAAAGGACAAGGAGTATAAACAAAGCATGGAAGGTTTAATTAAGTTAAGGTCTCCCTAAGTCATACTGGTGACTTTTATAAATTCCCTGGAATGGCTAGACTGGAGAAAGCAGATGAAAGCGAAAGCATTCTTAAGCGCCCAGCTTTTAATTCATTCTTATTGCCTCTTTCAAAGTTATTAAGTTTCATTTTCCATTTATACGGGCAAAAGTGGGTCCAAAGGTTAAAGAATATGCCGAGCTGAGGGTGTAGAAAACAGTGTAAATTCAAAATGTGGCATTAAATGAGTGAGGAAAACGAGCCAAAGTCATGGGGAAGGAGTCTCTATGATGCGCCGGAAATAGCACAAAGACCACTGAAATTGCCTCACTATTAAGACTTAATTATCTCTACTAATATAGCCAACCTGTTTGTTAAAGCAGAACGAGTGACAGTTGGCTGGTTTTACATATACATTTCCATTTATATGATAAACGCATACTCTTCTTCTAAATATCTATTGACTTTTCCGTTTGATTGGGCAGCGACTGAGGTGATTCTGTGCATTTGCCCCTAAATTGGGTTAATTCATTACAAAATAAGAGCGAGAAAACATTTATATAAAAGAATAGATTATTCATATTTTGGATGTGTATGAGTGTATTAGGACTAAGGAAGGTATAAAAACAAAATAAAATAACTTAAAAGGTTGTGAGATCAGCGCTAATTATATCATGAGTGAATTATCTTAGACTAAACAGGAATATGAAAAATGCGAAAATATACTATATTCTGCATCTCTAATGCCAAGAGAAAAAATAAATCCAGAATTCCATTCAGACACGGGATAGTCTTGTAAATAGGTTCGGGTTTATATACACTTAAAGGAGGATAAATGATTATAAATTGTAGATGCGAAGAGGAAATGTGTTTCGATTAATATTCTGAGATAACAATATTGGGTAGGCTCTCATTTCGAATGAAAGTGCCTAAGAAAGAGATTCGAAGGTCGATCTCACCAGAAAAGGACAACTAGACCCCATAGCACTGCAGACGTTTGGCTTTAATACGACCTCCATGCGGGCGAAGGCCACGATACCTACTAACAGGCTGAGCTTACGTCTATCATATCATGGACATCATCAGAGCTAAAACTCATTCTTGTGAAAGTCTTACATTAACGCTAGGTCATGAAGACTTTCTGGCTCTATCTTACCTCTTATATAGACTAAATTAAGCAAAAGAAAATGAAAAGGTCAGGATAAATATAGAATGGTTTGGCTAGTTATCTTTTGCATTGGTCCTGCTATTTTTGTTCGAGTGTCTGTGTGAGTATGCGTGTGGGTGTGTGATGACTTCTACACAATACCTGTCCTAAATCAGTGTGATAAAAAAGGCCATTGACAGGCTCTGGCTATGAAGGCTTACTGACCCAAGAAAAATCCATGACCAAGACTGGATAAGTACGTAATCAAATATAGTTAAGATAATTAGATGTTAGCTTGTGTGTAAGTCAGGTTACGAAACCGCCTGCCCTAGTCTCTCAGTCTAGGGTGGTTAAGGTTTAACCACCTAAGGCATGACTATGGTTGTGCAATCTGGCTCGTCTGGTTTGGTCGATAAGTTTAATCTAACAAGTTGGACGAGTGAGAGTGAAGTTAGAACCATCCTTGAGCAGACCAGTTAAATCACCTTCTTTTGGATGGTGGTCTAACACCCTCTCTCTCCTTCAATCTATCAATCAAGCATAAGTTTTTCCTCAACTTTCTACTAACGTTCGTCACATTCAGCGTATATCCAAATCTATTCATTTAAATAGCCTCTTTTATCTTTCTTTTAACAGCAGACCTATCATAATCCGCAAACCGACTAGTTTGAGACCATTATATCTCATGTCCAGTTTATGTCAAGTGTTCTGCCACTTCTGACCATTGGACCCAACTTCCTTTACAAGCGTTTTTGTTCCCTCAATCTTTGTCGAATAGGCCGGCATGTCTCACTAATATAAGGTCGATAACAGGAACGAAAAATCGTGTAGCAGCTAGATCTCGATAATGGGTCATATCTCTCTCTAAAAGATGGCATTACATAAGAAAGTGTAAGGGCTTTTTAAACACATTTTTCATCCCTCACCCTATCACGAATTCGCCGACCTTATTAGAAAGAAGACACAACGGCAAAATTAGGACGAGATAAGGTATCAGCTTGTCTATGTTTAATTAAATGTTCTCCATCTGGAAATGTATTTCTCACTAGAGACATTATTCCCAATTAGACCCAAAATATTATTATTTGCCAATAATAAGTCTGTCTAAGGTTACAACTCTTTAGTAAAATGGTTCCTATTCGCAAATCTAACATTCCTAATAATTGTTGACCTCAAAATTCCAACCTTAGTTTCGTAAAAATGGTTGGAAGGAAAACTAAGCAGAGAGCCAAAATATGTTGAATTCCTATAAATATCTCTTCCTTTAGAAGTGGGTTGACCTCGTTGCAACTTGGTCTTGTCAGGGAGACTTAGGAGAACGCACCTAGTCTGAAGTCGTCTGTCATAGTAGTTGTCATGATTCCCAGCATCAGACAGTGGACTTGGTACATTCTCAAACGTTTCACCGGCATCGTAGTCGACATTATCAGTGAGTTTTGCCATTCTCCGCAACAAGGTACAAACTCATCAAAGATCTAAATAATCATCCAGATACTGCATGAGCACTGCCGATTGTAGCGGTGCCATCTTGAACTTCTCTTCCATTTTGTTCATGTGTACGTTTCATAAGTGGTGAGAGCGACGATCCCATGGGAAGTTCAAATATTTGTTCATAGATGTTCCCGTTGAATGTTAAATTGGTTGTCCTTATTGTCAGGTTGATTATTCTTGTTAACGACTCCCTACCGATCCGTTGTGACTACAGGATATCCTCTTCCTGGTCCAGCATTTCCAGCAGGGCCGTTAGTGCATTTTCTCTAGAGATATTTGTATACATGGATTGATTCCACCTCGAAACTTACCAATAAGTCTGTTTCTTTCAGTTCTATCTTTTAGATTTTTTGAGAAAATTCACATGAATGTTTCACCGTGCTTGATAGCCCGTGAGGGGAAGGCCTAATATCTGCAAGCATGGGAATCAGAACTTAGGCACTCTGTTCAGTGAAACGACAGTATATGTGCTTCTATGGCTTTATCTTTGGTCATTAAACCTTGATGGCTAGAGCCTGTCACTGGCCTTATTTTATCACGCTGATTTAGTATATGCGAAGAAAAGTTGGGCTTCGAGGAATCAACTGTTTCATAATTGTTGAGCTTACTTCCATTTCGAACGAAAGTGTTGGGTGAAAAAATTGAAGGTTGGTTCCACCAGAAAACGACGGAGGATTCCTCTTGACCAGCTATCGATCGTCATATGACGGATGAAAGCTTAGCACCTTTTCACCGGAATAGAAGTAGATTACCTCGGAAACAGCGTCAGCATGAATCTTCTAGTTAAGCCAATCGATCCGCCGTCGTCTTCTGGTGGAACCGATCTTCGAATCTCTTCACCCAACACTTTCACTCGAAATAGAAGCTCAACACTAATTTAGGACAGATATTGCGTAGAATTCATCACACTCTACACGCATACTCACACACACTCGAACAAAAATAGCAGGGCTAATGCGAAGGATAACTAGCCAAACCATTCTATATTTATCTTGGCCTTTTCATTTTCTTTTGTTTAATTGAGTCTATATAAGAGGTAAGATAGAGCCGGATAGTCTTCTTGACCTAGCGGTAACGTGAGACTTTTACAAGAATGAGTTTCAGTTTTGATGATGTACATCATATGATGAACGAAAGCTCAGCCCGTTTTAACCTGAAACGAGTGAGTAGGTATCGTGGACTGCGCACACATGGACATCGTATTGAAGCTAAACGTCTGCAGTACAACAGGATTTAGTCATCCTTTTCCAGTGAGATCGATCTTCGGATCTCTTCTTCATGCAAGTTCATACGAAATTTAAGTCTACCCAACAATATGTATCTTGGCTATATTGTTCCTATACGTAGGTTCTTGATGCGCCAAGATTCTGTGGATGATTTACCTTTCAAGCTCTTTTCATTTATTCAGGTAGCTTCACAGAGGCACTTATAATTTCGACTTAAATGCCCGAGTGGTTTCCAAGTGTAAAATGCATCCCTTCTTAAGGATCTGTGTTATACAGATTAAAATCGATGGAACACAGATTCAATACTTTATCTTCACTTCCTGTTTGGATTGTGAGGACCTTCCTACTAGAGGCATCTTAATTTTTGCCGAATGTTTAGACCCGGTGTTTCCTATAGATCCTATATTTTTTTACCTTCTTATAGTGCTTTTTTTATTATCTCCGATATCATTTTCGATATTTTGTCTGTCATTTTCTGTAGTATCTGGAAATACTCCGGGGTGAGTATCTGACTCAAATCATGCCTAAGTCTAGATTTAGTATATAGAAGCTTAATTAATTTTGCTCTCTCACTATCAGGTCTCCTCTAATTTTTTCAAAGAACTGTGATATAATATATGAGTGACCTTATCATAATGATATTTTCTCATTAAAAACTAAGGGGATGCCATAATGTTTCCAATAGTTCAGAATGGTCAAATAACAAGATTGACTAGCAAGTGTTTTTATAAGCTGTAATCGGTGTATTGACTGTCAATCTTACCACAGTTATTATATATTAAATAGAAAACCAAAAAGATGAAGCTTT